CACACACACACACACACACACACACACACACACACACACACACACATACACACACACACACACACACTCAAAATGACGACACACACACACAGGGGTGGGGGTGGCTGGTTGCAGGGAGTGGGGGTGGGGGTGGGGGGGAAGGGGACGCGCCATGTTTAATATTTTTTTTCCTGCACACATGACGCACAGGCCGCAGCGCGGGCACACCGCACAGCGCACAGAGTACAGCTCACAGCGCACCAGCGCACAGCGCACCAGCGCGCACCGCACACGTGCGCCACACCTATGTTAAAAACCTTATCAAATAACCATCGCTTGTTCAAAAAACAAAAGCACTTTGTGCCTAGTGTACTAGTTCTCAAAACATATATAAATTGATTTGCACAAAAATTAACACGATACGCCAAAAATGTACCTATAGCACTAAACAAAATGGTAAGACCAAGTCAAGAACTCTCAGGAGAACAGTTGCCAAAGATGACGTTAACTATGGTCACAAAACAACCCCACGAAATAGTGAGATGACATTAACTACGGTCACAAAACACCCCCACCAAATGGTATGCCTGACAAAAAGAACAGCAGGAACTGGAGGTGAGGATGCAATGGTTATAGTGTATGACTGCAGAAGGACATGTGATTTCCAGAGTGTGGATAAATGAGCAAGACTAAGGCACAGACGACATATCATCACCTTTAGCATTACAGCTCCAGATACCATCCCTGTGAATCGATATAAACACCAGGTTGCTCATGTGGATTACTCAAGCCTTGAAAATCATCCCATCCAAGCCCAAGCAGGAACACAATGCACATCATCCAAGGTGAAGAGGTCAAAGGTTTAAAGGAAAGCTTACAATTCTCTCTAGAAGGCACACTCCAAATTGATCCACTGCAAGTTTCAGCTGTTGCACAGACGAGAACAAAAACGACACCAAGGGCCCGACTGAACACACACAATTCTGTCTAGAAGTCCAACTCCGAATTGCTCGACTGCAATCTTCTGCCGACAGCACACATTGAAAAAGAAAGTTGAAGTACAAACTGCCTGATGGTTTTCTGCTGTTCCGTTCGCTCCGACACAGTTCTTTTCGTGGTCCATCTCCAGCTTTAATAGGCTTTGTTAGTCAGAAAGAGAGTTATGTCCGCTCTGCGCCTGGTTGTTACTTTTCACAGCACCAAGACAGGTGTTAGATGCCACAAACCGCAGATGTTATGGGCACACTCCGCACGACGAGGGATCTGGACGGTCACATAAACTCGTGCCAGCTGCAAGTCCTGTGTGAATCACCTGCAAGGCATAGTCATATGCTCTCAACCAAGTTTTTGCAAGTTGATGACGTTTAACTGGTCTTTTCGGATGATCAGGCACACTCGGACTGAGACATGGCCCAGACTCCTAAGGGGTGTAGCAGTGGGGAAGCGGGGAATCTTGGACAGCTCGAATCACATTTGAATCCCACGAACGCACTTTCATGTGTAAGAATTTGACTGTCTTTACAGATCACAATACTGAGAATCCTGTCATATGACTCATGTGGCAGATTAGCATTCATTATGGTGAAGTCCACTGTGTGTAGTATCAACTTACTATCAAGCGATGGAGAGGTTGTGCATTCTGCTAGAGATCCATCTTTGACTGCTTTGCGTTTTCCACGATCCCTCAGTGTTGGACACCACATTCTTGATAGAGTTCACAATCTTTGCTGCTGAGAGATCTTACCACACCTCACAGAGCATAGCTGAGGGAGACACACAGCCATCCTTATGCTGGCACGGGGCTTGTGAAGGGGCCTTTCATGCACAGCTGCGATCCAGTTTGTGCGATGGGCTGCTGTGTGAGGTGCGGATTCAGAGAGGTGCAATAACCCATGCCTTATGTCTCATAAAACGTCAAAGGGCCTGCTTGGCCACCCTCAGCCCAGGCCGAAATGGGGGGAAAAAGACCCCACACGGAAATTAAGGGCCTGGACGTGTCAACTGTCATGACACCAACAATCCAAGTCCAAAATACCCAGTCCAGGCCGACGGTCAAGCACACACACTTGTTTGTATGCAGGTACCCAGACAGCATCAGGTCCAAAGGGAAGTCTGCAACTGTACACAATCGGGGCCCTCGGCTGTGAGGCAATCTGGACGACTCAGGGAACAGGACTCAAGGCCAGACAGCCTCGTCAAATGCTACTTAAGGCTGGCCTCCAGGTGGTCAAGCATTCAGTCTTGCTATGCTGCTTTGACGCTGGCTCAACTTTGACTAGACGCTGGCATTATGCTGGCTCGACGCTGGCTGTGCACTCGCGATGCGGACGACGGCACAAGGTGGAGGCCGCATGCTGGCGCTTCTTGTTCTGTGTGCCAGGCATGCTGATGTGGCGCTGCCTCTGGTCTACATCGCATGATGATGTGGTGCCGCCTCTGGTCTACAGTGCATGCTGATGTGGCACTGCCTCTGGTCTACATTGCATGCTGATGTGGCGCTGCCTCTGGTCTACAGTGCCTGCTGATGTGACGCTGCCTCTGGTCTACATTGCATGCTGATGTGGCGCTGCCTTTGGTCTACATTGCATGTTGATGTGGCGCTGCCACTGGTCTTCATTGAGGATGTGGCGTATGCCACCTGTCTCGACTGCTGACATGGCATTGTCCACGCTGTCTACATGAGGTGATTGGTTGCAGGAGGAGGAATATCGGGATCAGTTGATGAAGGAGATCGGGTACTCACCTGAGGTTGACGTCGTCACTGGAATCTGCTGTGTCTTCATGTGGCACTATTGTGTGTGATCAGGATTACTATACTTATTATCATCTACTGGTTGCTGACGCGGAGAGGGAAGAAGCCCGGAGAAGGAGAGGGGTTTGAAGGGATTACTATTGTGTTCTTTGATCATCTCCTCCATCTTCTCCTCTGTCTGTTCCCCCTCCACTCTCTTCTTCTAATGGTAATGAGATATTGATTTGGAGACTTCGTTGCAGATACTGAGACTACTGATGTTTGACGACTGCTGAGTATCTGTCAGACTGGGTTCATTACAGAGGTAACGCTGAACGGCTCCGAGGATAGCAGATATGTCTTCTTTGGGAGAAAAATAGTGATATGGCAAGGTGCCAGTGTGCTGATAACCCCGGCATTGTTCCCAATTCTAAGAACTTGACATTCGAGGATATCACCCAAGGGTTCCAATGTTCAGTTGTAGACCAGGCTCCACAGCTGCAGTGCAATGGACTCCTGTGTGAGGTGCAGGTTGAGAGAGGTTGTTAACGCTGGGCAACTCTGAGGATAGCAGATATGTGTTCTTTGAGAGCAAAATAGTGATAGGGCAGGGTGCCAGTGTGCTGCTAGCCCCGGCATTGAGCCCAATTCTAAGAGCGTGACAATCGAGGATACCGCCCAAGGGTTCCAATGTTCAGTTGTAGACCAGGCTCTCAAGCTGTAGTGAGGGGTAGTACCTATACCACAGTTTGCAGCAAATTTCTAAATTGTGCAATATTGCAAATTTCCTGGGAAGATTTTCATTACCGGTCAGTCACCTGGGCGTGCTGCCCGGGGGGCTCCGAACCCCGGGATACCCGGGCATGGGGCAAAAACAAAATTAAAAATAAAAAAAAATAAAAATGGCGGGGGGTGTTTTCCACGCTCTCCGAGAGGAGCCCAAATCCGGGCTCCAAATCCGGGCCCTTTTCTTTTTTTGAGAGTTGGCTGTCAAGGGGGGGGAAGGGGAGAGTATGAACGAACTTTGAAGGTGCTAAGGGGGTTTAAAGGGCCTTATGAATTATTTATTTTTTTATTCTTCAGTTCCGTGAGGAATTCGGATGTGACCCTCAGCCAAAAGTTGTTTGTATTGCAATTCTACACAACATTTTTATTTTCAGATTTTTTTGGAGGTTTTTTTTTTTTTTTTTTTTTTTTTTTTTTACTGTCCAGGCCCATGCCCGGGGGTCTTGCCCGGCCGGTCGCCAAACCGGGCGAGACGTCAGGACCTGGGCGCCCAGGATATCTCCCTAGCAAGTTTATGAATTGTGCAACATTTTGTGTATCTAATTAGTATCCACTACACATTAAACAAAACTCCGCGAAGAAAGTGACAGTGTTTCATGGGACTTTGACCGACTCGCCACAAGGTTGAACCCCAACAGACTACCCACGATGCATTAGACTGAAGGATAAGAACAGACCACCTTGCCCAAAATGAGCGATACCACTAAGAAAGGTGGTTCTGTGCCTCCAATTATATAGTTTGTCCAGATGCGCCACGTCCGCATCATTATTTAGTTCCTTGCATCCTCCTCATTCTGAGCACATCTTCCTCACACCACCTTATATTCCCCATCCTGCATAGCAAAAATTTGCATGTTTAGCTCCTTCTGACATGCAAGCAAGGGAATCGCGCACAAGACGCCTAGGAACAGCAGATAGGTCCTTCACGTTGTTGGATTCTAGGAGCAAGCAGGAATATCGTAGAGACACCCTGTGGCATGCTGCGCCCCTCATTCTGGGCCTGTCATGCCCAGACTTCGTTTTCGCCGGGCATCTCATCGACCTGGCTCTCCTTGGGGCTGGGCCTGGCCAAAAAGGGCCCTAGGCATCACCAGGGACCCTGGGCAAGAGGGTTCAGGCAGGTGTGTTCATATACTCTGTTCTAAGTTCATTAGATCTATTGTGTTTGTTCTCCATGTTGTCTGTAGCAATTCGGTTTTGCACTGGTCTAGATTGTGTGCGTGGTTTTAGTAGATTTGTCTGAACAGTCACTGGTTCGTCCTGTTCAGATGTCAGCGGATACCATTTCACATTTTGGCACAGTTTTCCTGTTTGTGGCTGGGCCCGCATTCGTCTTTAGGCCACAAGTTCCCGGGCCTGGGCTAGGAGGTAGAACCAAGGCCTCGTACCTCGGTCATCGGATCGCAGCCGAATCCAATGACCTACAAGAGAGACCAGACAAGGTGTCAACCGGCCCTGTAGTATTTACAGAGGGACGGTCAAGTGGGGGGGTTGGTTCATGCACTAGTTGCACCAGACTGCTGTATTGGCATGTGGAGCAGCCCAGCAGGAAAGTTGAGTAGACTACAGCTGAGTAGACCTGAGGCGATTAGGAGGAGAAGTGAAGCAGAGTACATCAGCCGCTATAGCTACTTTTGTTGTTGAAGGTACGTGCTGTGCATCAGGCGCTCAAGGGTCTGCTTTTCACCAGCCCACAAGAGGGGGGACACTACCATCCTTGTTTTTGGCTTCTCCTCCTCCACCACCTCCATCCCATAGTGAGAGATAGAGAGAGTTAGCATTGCTCTGTTGGGAGAACAACTCCCCGAATTGAGATATGTGACTCATTCATTGACAGCAAGTTGTAGGAGAGGAGATCGAAACGAATGACAGGCCATCCGCGTATGGCCCGAGCCCACCAACACCGCGGACGTTCGCTCATTCATGGGGTTGGCGGGCTGCTATCAACGCTTCATCACCGGGTACTCGAGGATTGCCGCACCTATGACGAGATTACAATCGCCAAAGGTGCCATTCGTATTTGATGACGACGCACGCCGGTCATTCCAAGCACTCAAGACGGCCATGCTCATGGCACCCGTCCTTAGCATCTACGAACCCACCCTGCCAACGAAAGTGACAACTGACGCTTCCGGCTATGGCATTGGGGCAGTCTTAGAACAACACGACGGCGACGACTGGCACCCCGTGGAGTATTTCAGCCACAAAGTGTCTCCCATCAATTCACTTGATGATGCAAGGAAGAAGGAGCTGCTCTCGTATGATTCTCAAGCGATGGCGGCACTTCCTCCTTGGGCGTCGTAGGTTCACATGGGTCACGGACAACAACCCCTTAACCTACTACAAGACGCAGGATACGGTGAGCAGCACGATCGGACGCTGGATGTACTTCATCGACCAATTCGACTT